TNTGAAGTAAGTAGATGAACGTCAGAGAGGATCAAACCTATAAAGGGTCGAGGAGATATGACTCAAGTGAATATATTTCTGTCTTTGGACTTTGGGCTGTATTTAGATTTACTTTCATGTATACTAAAGCGATGGAGCTATGCAATTATGAATACAGTATTATAAAGTATCGCAATTGGTTACAATATTGGCGGATTTAAATTTCTGTAACAATTTATAATGCTAACGCTTTAGCTAAGAAGTTAACATTAAGATAGCCTATTTACAGGCTCAATATTTAGGAATTCTTATTTTCCTAACATACAGTACTTTGATTATATCTAAGTATATTGTCCACGTATGCGATTAAATTGAATGTAAAGCCAAAGGTTTATGAAAGATAATTCAGAAAGTATCACTAATATCTAGTTAAAATATATCAATCTGTGTCTATTCTCCTGTGCCGTAAAAAATACGAAGACTTGATACATGAAATCAAAGTTAACTTGACGAAGCAATCCTACTACGTCGGAAAAAACTACTGAAATTATAATATTTACAGTTAAACTCCTAGCCTAGATTACTCATTTTAAAAGTCAAGAAATTTTAAAATGATTCTGTTCAAAAAGCACTACGATAATAATAAGGAAATGGTGACAGATTGAGATTGAAACAAGTTAATGACTGTTTCAGTTAAAGAAGAACCATAATTTTCAAAGAATGATTTTGCCCTTGGCTACTATGGATTATCAATATAGTACTGTGATTCTACAGTAGTAACGCTCAGAGAAGCTTAAAGCGCGATAGATTACAATAGTGCTACTAGACTTGATGTCTCCTTCCTATGATAGCCTGATTATAGTACAATCTGTTGTCTAAAGCGCGGAATGCACTACGAATATTCATTCAATCAACAAATAAATTTACTACGGGCAGCGCAAGGGAATTTAGATTTGATAGCGAAATAATGACAAGTCCATTGTATGTGTAAACAGCTCTAGATCGCTGGGAGTGATAAATTTCTTCATTCTTTATCAACGTCTATGCAATCAGTGACAAGGTACAGCGTCTGATATCCATTGAAGTAACCGTTATAATAACATCATAATCCCTCGAAGTTAGATTTTGTCGTTACATGCAATTGTAGTGCAAAGTAACTAAAGATTAAGATTATGAGATTTTACGAAAATAGTTTGAATCGTTCGTTATATTTTAAGATTGATATTTGTTATAAGGACTAATTCATGGGGTGCAGTGGTTTTTACAAGAAGTTGTAGTTCTCATGCAATAAGTTGGAGATACTATCAGCTCCCCACCCCCCCCCCCCCCCAAAAGCCATGCTTCTCGTAATAATTTTTATCTTTCAAATCGACATGACAGTTGTTATGTCATGTTTAGCACAATATGGACACGGCCATCTGCAATTACTTTAATAGGGATCGTAATAGGCCGAGCTTTGAATAAGTATATGCATACAGAACTTGACCAAAATAATATTAATTTGCTGTTAGGACTTGAAGGATGCGATAGCAATGATTACTTGTATATACATATACATATACACAGCACAGTAGACTTGTATATCGCAAAACTGAATTTTATCAAATAGCTGGAATGGAATCATTTTAGGTCAATTTATGATCCATATGCTAATATGATTCGGGGATAAGATAAATGGAATGGACGATGGCTTATCCTAGAAGTTATGAACCAAGCCTGAAGTCGAACAATGTAGGAAATAATATTCGAATGTTATGCAATGATGATCTCCATTTCTATCCTTTCCTATGCAATCGAAAATACTGTTTGGAAAGATATGACTTTGATCATCAAGATCTGCATGACGGTGATTAATAGTCGATTGAAGCTTTTAGTCATCAGCAAATGATTGAAATTGATGAATTACTCCTGCACTGAATCATTTTTATGGCTCGAACAACACTAGTTGTCCATCTCATTTGACATATTGAGATCAATATCGCATTATACTAACGAATATCTTGAAGATCATTTAGGACCAGCTACTCGACAAATTCATCTCGCACCATTGCGCTTAGGTATAGGTACGCGTTTAAGAGGTTGCTGCGCACTTGCTATGATACTGTATGGCATCAAATCGTTTACAGTACAGAATGCTACAATGCACAGTATGAAGTATCGTACAGACTGTACTGTAGACTTACTACTGTACAGTACAGTACACTGTACTGGTGTGGGGAATTGTGCGTACTGTAAGAAATTTTCATTTTAGTACCGTAGCAATTTCAGACTATTTACAGATTTGACGTGAAAATTAGAATCAATGGATAGAAATGAAAGCTAGATTTCTATTTCTTAGCTATTGGGCTACATCTACATATGAGATTTTATCTACTTTGGGCTTGATTTAGCCTACACCGTTGAATCCCGCTGTACAGTACAGTACAGTCACATTACTGAGCATTTGGCCATACTGTGCAGTACAGTACAGTACTCTTGACTTTAACTCTACAGTACAGTACAGAAGACTTCTGGCCACCGTTTTATACAGTACTGTACACTGTAGAGTGTCATGGACAACTTTACTGGACTAGACAATAATAGTCTATAGCGAATACGATTGTATGAGCAATACAGGACGCGGGCAGATGCTTTCAGTCATGATTCAGTACTGCAGTACAGCCAGTACCCCAAAGGTAAGCTTGGAAACTTCAAGCGTTGGCCCATCGAAAACCACAACAGAAACTTGGGTGGACGAGAACTGCAACGTTCTTTCCGGCTGGAAAATCATTCAACAGCAGCGATCTTGGACATGGATTAAATTGAAGGATATTTTGGCATGGTGAGTGAGTTAATCTGGTCTTTCAAGAATTTATTGCAAAAAATAGCCTACCAAAATAGTCTTGAGTACTATACTGTACTCTAAATCTGTACCAAGATTGACCACAATCAACGATGGAGGACCAACTAAAGATGCAAAATGATGAGCAGGAAGGACAACAGCGATCAGCCAAGCGATCAAGAGATGATAGCTCTACTCAAGGTCCTGCATCACATGGCGATGACACACTTCAACCAGACTCCAAGAAGATCAAAAGGGATAAAGTAGAGGAAACTGGAGATGATTATAACTTCGCTAAGCCATTAACTATACCCAAGAAAGCAAATGAAATTACAACGAGCGCTAATAATAACGACCATTGGGAAAGGCGAAATATCGATGAGGAAACGGAGCGAATGCAGTTCGTATTTGTTATAATAAATGACATTGTAACATTGTACTATACAAACGTTGAAATATTACTTATGGCCAGTTACAGTCAAACTATATGACATTGCATGACTACTTTCTATCATGGATATAGTCAGGACTGATTCAGAATGTTTGTCTGCTTGTTTCGAAGTACAGTACTCTACTCTAATGATGTTACAAGATGATGGATTTTTTCTTCATTTCTTCTTCTCTCCTAGGTTATTGGTGGCATCGTTTACTGAAGAACAACATAATCGCTACGAAATGTATCGGCGTGCAGCCTTCCCTAAATCTATAGTTAAAAGATTAATTCAAAATGTTGCCGGCTCTGGAGCTTCTGTACCACAAAATGTCGTCATTGCTATGTCGGGCATAGCTAAAGTCTTCGTTGGGGAATCTGTTGAACTTGGTCAGTGAGTATATCAAGTTTGCAGCAGCTAGTGTTTTCAATAATTACGACAGTTAGCGATAACTTAAAATACAATTGCTGATAGTATCAAGTTAAATCAGTATAAAATAATAACCAAGAGAGAGTGGTACAGTATGACTACCGATATCTTTCCAAAATTCGTACATGATTTTAGTCTTTAGTCAGTTTCGCAGATTAGGCTTACAACTTCTGCGTATTCATAAGTTAGTAAAATTGGCGTGATCTTTTAATTATCTTCTCTTTATAGAAAGTCATATTCAGTCAGGTGTGAAAATACAGTAAAAGCGAATACTATGAAACAGTCTAATTATAGACTGATTACCTCGTTGGCATTTTAGTATTTATTATTGCTAGAACAACGCTACCAAATTATGTCACAGTCGCATGATAGGTTTCAATTAAAGATTAGAAGTAAATCGTCGTATCAAAATTCTTAGCAGATAGTACGTTGAACCTCTTCAAATGCAATAATTATTCTATTCTAAACATTGTATTATAGCTTTAGATATTAAAGAGAAATGGAACGATTCCGGTCCTATTCAACCAAAGCATTTACGGGAAGCTATTAGAAAAATGAAATCTAAAGGATTGATACCTCATTCTATTACTCGAAAAAATCCGTTACACTGGAGTAGTCGTTGATATTTTATTTCTATGCTATCTAGTTTTAAAAAGGTTATGTTCTCTCTGTAATAGAAATATTTTATTTGAGATACTGTGTTTCCACTAACTTTGAATGTGTAGGTACTATGATACTTGTATACTTGTTTCTCACTCATTGTTGTATGATACTTTGCAAACGTGAATTGACGTTTTTCTTTTAGTAGCCCCTATAACGGGCGTATAAATTATTTACCCAATGACACTGCTCTAATGTTTTCGTAATTTAATTTTATTTCAACTTAACTAACTGGATAATTACAGGTTCTCTAGCTGATACTTTTGTCGTATTAATTGTCACTATTATGAAGGTACTGTAAGCCAGACATTCCTGATTAATGTAAACAGACACCTGTAGTTGTAAGCTAACGTTTAATCAGTCTACGACTGACCGATTGTACAAAGAAGCTTGGATATCTTGATCTACAATATATATTTATAACCTCCTTTTCTAAGCCGGCACTTAATTATACGCGGATTCATTATAAATACTACAATGTAGTTGTCCAATACTGCATATACTTTATTCGACAAATCACTTTCATTTATTTAACGAAAGGCTACCAGTCAGAAAATGTTACAAAAATGCGATAGATAAAGCATGTCAAGTTTTTGATCCTTGCCAAAATTTCGTGGTCGGCATGGTTTATACGTACATATACAACAAAATATATACAGTACATTGGTAGCTTTTAGTATTGCAATCCTAAGTTATAATTATTGTCATTTCGGTAATTACCATAACTTTTTTACTCATTCTGCAGCGACCTCAACATCTGCATTCGTTTCGTAAAATGTAATGTAAGATAATTAACACCAACGAAGCCATTTAACAACATAAATTTGTCAAATAAGTTAAGAGTGACTCTCTTGTTTTAAGTTTATGTTACTACAATTGAAAATACACCGTGCCTATAGAATACATCTATGAAACGTGTAACTTGAGTCAAACAAAAATAAGTCATTTAGTTTAGTAATTAGCTGCTTATTGAGATATTTTGATTAGATAATGAATTATACGTCAATTCAAAGATATGCCTTTGCGGCTATGCTGTATAATAATATGTGGTACGAGTGACAGAATTTATAGCTAGTGGAAGATGAGAGTCAAAAGTATAACTGTAATACAGCTCATTAGTATAAAAGGACGGTATAAAAGACTATTTTACACTCAAGTACCAGTTAAAAATGTAATATTCAGATATAATTTGCGTATTAATAGAAAATTTAACATAAAATCTTACAAACTACAGTACTTGACAGTTAAATTAAACAGTCATTAAAGGGGTTGAAAAAGCAGCGAAAGATAAATACGAAAGGTCCAAAGCCAACAAAACTGAAAGAAGCACAATCTTGATAACTGATATTCTATACATAACAATGAACCCTATGCCATTACTCATTAATTAAGAGTTTAAAATTAATGCATTAAATTTGCATCAGGTAAACTAGGCTTTCTTTTAAATTGCTCTAACGATAACAACATTCTCCGACGATGGCCAATGGAGGCAATATCCAAAATCTATTATTCAAGCAATTACATAAAAATTTCATACTCGCTTTTATTTGAGCAATTTGAATTAAAACATTAGACCATACATACTGATACTTACTTGGGTAAGGTTAAAATCGTTAACATCGACTACATCCTTAATAGTGAGAAATCCATGCTGTTGAAAACGTGATAGGTAACTTTCCAGATTAATTGTTTCAAGCCATTCCATTAATGAATTCGATTTAGTTATTTGCGTTAGTTTATGGGCAACTGGAAGTTTGTCAATCTCCCTCAATAGAAATCTACCGTAGTATATAATATATATAAACATATCGTTACTATCATTAAAACGCATACAATACCAATAAATGAGTAACTGAATTCTATTGGTTTGATACCTTCGATGATTTTCGTCCTCAATGCCAATTTGAAGCAATTCACGGTCCGTCAAAATTTTTCCACCCTACGTACGCGTACATAAGAAATCATGTTTATAATCTAGGCTAAAATACAGTTTTAATTAAAGCTGCATAACACGTCCGTTCTCATTTATGTGTTACTAACCAAGTATTGGATATCATCAAATCCATGCTTGATAAAATTTTGTTGATATTGGGGGTATCCAATTGATTGAAGCCAAGTAAGTACACTTTGAGGGATATTTTCGCTGGGTTTCATATCTATATACATCAAACAATTTAATACCAAAATATCTACATCATAATACTTAACATTAACTTTATAAACTACATTTGCCGTATATACTGTCCAGCTTACGATCATTCATACTTTGATTCTTTATCGAGGCAATTTCGAAATTAATAAAATCGATCGTGTTATCCATATTTTCTTGAATCTAGTGATAAATTAACTTATTTGTTAATAGCGGTTAATAATTTTCATAATATAGCCGTTAATAAGTATCATTTCAGAGATTACGATAACATAATTAATTAATGGTAACGAAAATTATGCAGCAATAGTACCGTAGACCAGCTTCCACTTGTTGACGGTGCCGTTATTTTTGGACCTTCCATCGATCTCGATGGAATCTTCGGTTTTAATGTGGGTGCAGGATATTGAGGAGGCCGATTACTTTTATTTTGATTCGTTAAATTTGATTCAGAACTTTTCAAACTGGTCATATTTCTTCTCGGTGGTTTTGGTGGTGGTGGCTTACTCATTAATCTCAATAATTCTATTTCTTTCTCTTCTTGAGTCATCTTACGAACGGCATTAAGAGTAGCGTCAGTGCGACTGCTGGAGTTTCCAACATTAGATTCTTGACCTTTTCCTATTAGTAGATTATTATTTGATTGCGAATCAGAAACTTTACTAGCAGTCGTAGCTCCATTTGAACCTTTTGGTACTTGAGAAAAATTTGAGCCAATGTTTAAATTGGAAAAATGAGATGAACTGCTATCGGATTCATCAGCTCTTGGAGGCAACATATCGTAATTCCCGGATGCCACCGTTATATTGTCTCTGAGATCGACTTTATCAATTCTTAGTTCATTAAAATGGCTTAAATTATGAGAGGATGATGATACGGAGCTATTGGAATTACCTTTCGTGGTGACGTCTTTCTCAATCGCTGCAGACGAAGCTTTGAAAATTTGAGAGATGTTAACTCCACTAATCGGATCTACCTTACTATACTGTCCTTTGCCAGAGTCAGTTGTATCTACTTTCAGGCCGAAATTGTCTGGTTTCTTATTAGATAAGACAATTTTGTCGTAGTTACTATAACGAGATGCGGTACCAACAGACGTGACTGCGGTAAGTGAGCTAAAATCGTTAGTAAAATTTTCTTCCGGCGAAGTGGTGACTGATTTTTCGTAATTTGGCAACATAAAATTACTCTGATTATAACTATCACTTCTGTTAATCTGAAAATTGTTATCAAAGTGATTACTAGACTGAACGGTGGTCGAGGCAAATGGATCTTGATGAGAAAGAGTAGATACTTCGGTGTTAGTTGCTGAACTAAATGGATCTCTAGGATTGAATGTACTACTTTGAAATGGGTCATTCGCACCAAATACACTCGCCGAGTTAGCTGCAACATTTTGGGACATAAAAATTGCATCAGCGTTTAAAAACTGTTGATCTTTTCTCAGCGATTCCTGCTCGTCTATGGACGAGTTATCCTGATTCGAACGATTTCTATAATCTTTTAAAAATAAAGTAACAAAGAATAATTAATCGAGAACTCAATCTGTCGAAGTTGTTTACTTTACAGTCCAAGTAGTAGATAATTGTTAAACTAGAACCTGCAATCATTTCCATTATGTCATCCATATTTTCTCGTCCAGCCAAACATTGTTCAACAGTTTCACCAGATGCATTAGTCACGTCCAGATCAACATCTATTGTGAAAAATAATCTTCAAATTCTAGTATTTGAACAGCAAAAGCATAGTTATTATGACTATCACCTTGTTCAAGTATTCGTTTGACAGCATCTTTGTGGCCAGCTTTAACAGCAGCATGTAAACAGCTTCCCTCTTGAGTCTAAATAAGAAAGATGAAAAGTTATTTACTTATTCTGATAGATTATATTAATTAGATAAACACTGATAAAAATTTTACAAATACAAACCTTGTAGTTTATATGCAATTTAGCTTTCAAGAGAATATCTAATATTGCTAACTGATTATTGCTTGCAGCATAGAATAATGACGTAGAATAAGCAGGCAGAACATCTTCTTGCAAAGACGACAACAGAGCTTCAACCTTTTTTTAACAAAATTTGTTCCTATTATTATGCTTACTGCTTCCAATAAGAAATTCCAGGGCATGTAAACGACATTTATACGTATGTTTAAGGTTCATCTTACAGCAAATTTATCGCCAGCTTCTGCCGCCATATCCAAAGCGGTCTTTCCAGTAGAATTTTGAATACTGGTATCTATATCGTACTGTTTAGTAGATTAATATATGCATGAAATTAATAATAAACGTAGATATTGGGCAAAATGTTAAATCGGCCAAAGGTTTTGTAGTGATACTGGATGACTTAATTTTCATTTTTAATGTTTGAATCATACAGATTTCGCGATGACCATAATTGATAATAGTTAAATAACATTTACTAAAATTGTTAACAACAACATGGTCAGTTAGCATATTGTAGGCAGGTTGTACTTATACTACAGATATTATGAGTAAAGAAACATACTTTTGTAAGTAGCTTAATCATTTTATATTTCCGACTTTGAATGCAAATGTGTAATGCAGAGTTTCCGTCACGAGTCTAATAAAGTAAAAATATATCAGCAGGATATAAATCAAAATTATGGTTAAAATATAGATTAGATTAAAAGGATATCGTAGTAAAAATCAACTGTTAATTTAAAATAATCAGCAAAAGTTTAATTTAATACCTTGTCAATGAACTAATTTTAAAGTAAATATACTATTTACACTGTATTCATATTGAGCCTAAAGATCACTATAATATAATCTTACTGATTCTAAAGTAAGG